CGTTAAATATCTTCATACGTAAAAACGAATGAAATATTTAACGACATGTAACGAGTTAGTTATCATTAAAAAGACAATCATGCGTGAAACAGCGTGAAAAGTCTAACGCGTTTTCATGAGTTTCAGAAATTTAACGAAAGTTCACGAAGTTTTCTTCATAAAACTTTGTTAGTTTATCTTTTAACGCAACTTTTGGCGTTAATTTCTGCCCTCGCTTCGTTGAATGCCTTTTTTATTTTTACATTTCTAAGATACTGAAAGGCTATCGAAGAGATTAATTCAACGGCATACCCTAGAGAAAGTACTGAGTTCAGGGTACGCATGTACTGAGAAAGGCCTAGCAGGGTACCCAATAGGGGTACTTCAAAAATTCTCAGTAATTATACTGATGTAGGTACTTAGTGTGGTTCCCATAAAAGTACGCTCACTTAAGCAGTACTTGTATGGGTACTCGCATCTGTAATTTTACTGAGGCAAGCTATACAGGGTACCCCATATTTGTCGTGTTCTGTGTGGCGACTATTCATTCACCGTTTTCTTTTTCACGCACGGCTCCATATAAACAACTGAGTAAGACATAAGAAATTAATCTATTTTCATAGTCATTTTTTCTAGATTATTTCTTGACTATTTCTTAGTCGAGCACATGCCGATCTTAATCGTAGATTAAGAGAGGACTACTCTGAAGTGGTCTGATGGATACCTGACCAACTCAAGTCGGGTCAGATCCCGGAATTGTACCTGCTAAGTTTTCGGAATTGAAAAAATTAAATTGAATAAAATCGAAAAAAAAATGTACTAAATTGCTTTGAGAGAAACAAAAGTTAAAAAAAGTTAAAGGTCAGGCTCGATCTTGAACATACTGAAATTTTTATAACAGGGTACCTAGAAATACTATGCAATAGTACCCAATTGAGTATCTGATCAGTACCTGCAAGTACCCAGTTACTACACATTTTGTAGCAGGGTACTGATTAAACTACCACTTAGGTATCTGAAAGTACTTCCAAGTACTTTGGTACCCAAAAGTTCCTGTGACATACTGGTAACAGGGTACTTTTTCTGGTACCCTTAACTCAGTACATTCTCTGGGGTAGCGATAAATATTCTCAGTTACTAGATATGACTACCATCTATCGTTCTTTATTTCCATTACACATCTTATGAACAAAAGTAACAAAGGATATTTTTATTATAATAGTAGAACATTATATGCTTTGTCAGTTGTGCATGTTTGCCCTTAGTTGTAAGGACGATAATGTTTAAGTGTTATATCACCCTTAATAATATTTTTCTATTTTTAAACATAAAGATTTTTTAGATAAACGTAATATCATCTATAGTTTTATTTATGGCTGAAAAACAGAAAAAATTTGATGCATGTGTAATTCGTACAAGTGATGCTGATTTTATTGTTGCTGAATGGCACCAGTTAGTAACAACTACTAATAAATCAAAACTCACTGTTGGATCATGTGTTGGATATAAAAAGTCAACAAATAAACGGGAGAAGATTATTCGTGGCACAATTATGATTATTGGTTAGTTGTAAGATATGATTTCACATTAAAATTTTTTTTTTAAGGTTCACTGCAAGTATGTGAAAAACAAAAAAAATTATTAATGGCAAAGGTTACTAGTAAAAATGGTGCAGCACAAAAATTTGATGAAAAAGATGAATGTGAATCTGAGCCAACTGGTATTTCAAATAGTAAAAATGATTTAGAGTTGAACGATGAAGATTCATCTGACTCAAACGATGCACGTTTGGAAATTGATATTGAACAAGAAAAAAATTGTATGAAGGTTTTATTATGTTGAACAAGCTAATGTATGTCATATTTTAGGTGATGAAAATAACTCAAAACAAAATCAATCTAATCAAGCAACAATCAATGAACCACGAAACGACAATCGATCCAAGACATCAGAAGCATCACCTTTAAGTGCTGCCTATACAGAAGGTTGTATCACTAATTTTTTTAAATATTATTTTCTAATTTTTTTTTTGTTGTGAAACTATATAGAAAAAACAACTAGTTTATTTAAACGAAAGAGTGTTGATTCTGACAGTGAAGCACAATATGTAGAAACAAAACGAATACGAATTTCCGTGAGTTCTTATGAGGAGCTCAGAAGGGAAAACAACCGAATGAAGAAAGAAATTGAAAAATATAAAACGGAATGGATGCGTAAGTATTGTTTTTAAATATTTTTGCTTCAAAAACTGATGAGATGGTTTTGCTTTATTTCTGTATTAACTATCAGAATCTCAATTTAATTTGATTTAAGTGTTCTTAGCAAGTTGTTATCTAATTGAAAAGCTTTTCTCATCTAAAAATATCAAAAGGAAAAATTCTGGTCTACACGTCATCGCTTTGTAATAAACTTTTAATATTTATTTCTTATAGCTCGTCCAACTGATCCCAGTGTTATAAGATATTTTGTACGTATGGGAGAACTACTTTCCTGTGCTGGTGAAATGGAAGAAGGAAGAGGTGAAAAATTGATTAAGATTTGTGACCGATTAAGTATGAGCGAAGAACAATTGAATAGACTACAAAAGCCGAATGGTACAAGAACAGCTCGTTCTATTATACGTGCCTGTTATCCACTGCATGCTCGAATGGATGCTCTTGAAGAAGGTATTGATGATGATCTTCGACAAGCTGTTCATGGTAATTCCTTTTTGTGATTTAATATTAAATAATATATTTATGTTATAGATTACGTTAACATGTTTCATGGTATGGAAAGTCTGACGGAAGGAAAAATTAATGAAAGTATTAACAATGTTTTTCGTAGTGCCAAAACTCAGCAAAAACAAGATGGAAAAAATGAATCTCAACAATCAACTTCCAATAATTCAAAGTTTATTGGAAAAAAAAAATCCAACATCAATAAAGAAAATGATTTACCAAGAAATCAATGAAATATTATTGATTTCAGAAACTTATCTAGACTTATTTTCGATGTTACTTGATAGATTTTATTTCTATTTGCATTTTTCTCGTTATATTTGTTTTTTTTTTGTACTGAATATTCAGTGATGAACTTTATTTTTTTTTTGTTTTTTCTCAATTATGTTTATACGTGTAGGCATATAAATGAACAATAAAAGCTTTGAAAGATAAAGAGTACTAGAAGATTAGAAACCATTGGGTTTTTCTTCATTGTAATTAAAAATTTATGAATTTTGTTGGATAGTTTTATATATTCTGTTTGTAATTAATCATTGAAAACATTGTCACTTTGACTTTTTTTGAAGCAAAATGACAGAAAAGATGGCTGATTGGCGACTTAATCGAAAGAATTTCGAGTATCGACGAAGAATGATGCTTCTTGCCAAAGCAAATGGTCGTTTTTGTGTGTTGAAACTTAAAAATTCTGTCAATTGAGAAATTTACTCATTTTTTAAATTTAGTGAAGGAATGCGAGCAGCTGAATGAGGATTTAACTCAATGGACTCAAACTACCACCAATTTCATCAATGGATCTATTAACATTGCTGCTTCTCCAGATGATCAATCGCAACGTTTTAATGATGATTGTTCGCTTTCAAATTTTACATCTCCAACTAGGAATGAGTCTTATGAACCTCAAGATAAACAAAATATGTATGTATAATGTTTCGAAAACTCTTTTCATCACCTAGAGTAGTGCATTAGTGTTGATTTCTTTTTCTTCTTTTCCTCATGTAAAAATATTCATTTGTTCAACTAATTAAAGCAAAATGATGTTACCTTTTAGATCGTGAAAATGCGTGAAAAAAGACGTCTGTTAACGAAATATTACGCATGTTTTTTCGTTAATAGTAACTAACGTAGAAAAACGCATGAAACTTCGTTAAAAGACGTCTCGTTTTCACGCGTTTGTACAACTGAAAATGAAATATATATTTTCGTTAATTCGCTAAATTCATCAGCATTTTTTGCATGGACCTTTAATCACAGGATCTATTATTGTTTTAGAAACTGCTTGTCCTAGAAATAGTGTTCATCGCTCTAATTATATAATTTTTTGATTATTTTATAGACTCTCGACAAGTTCAGATTCATTATCAAGACCTATTGAAAAAGTAGATTTAGCAGCGACTTTAGTCGCGCTGAAAAATCGTCATTCTTTATCAGCAGTCTGCATCAACGATATATGTTCACTATTGTGTGTTTTAAATGTGCCTGGTGCTCCTCGTAGTTGGTTTCAAATCAAAAAAGCACTTGATAAATCATGTGCATCTACTCTTGATCGAACAGTGTGGTGGATATGTCCAAGTTGCAAAAAGGTCTCTGATAACAAGTTCACTTGCTCAAATGCTAATTGTAGCTGGCGTTTTGTACCCCCTGCATCAATGCCAAATTATTTTTATACTTTTAATATTCGTGATCAACTTTCTTCAATATTAGCTACTACAGCAGATATGTATTTACAAAAACGTACAAACGTTACACCACATTCAATTTTAACAATGAAAGATATTGTTGATGGTAACTATTATCGAAAACTACTTGATGAAGAATCTGACGACATTTTAACTCTAACTATGAGTACAGACGGAATACAACCATTTAAAAGTACAGAAAAGTCAATATGGCCTGTAACTTTTATAATTAATGAAATTAAACGTAAAAAGCGATTCACCTTCCAAAACTTAATACTTGGTGGAGTCTGGCCTGGTCCTGCAAAACCAAAGCGGTTTGAAATGTCGGCTGTGTTGGAAACAATCATTGTACAACTTAAGGAGTTGGAGAAAGGGTCTTATTTTGAATGCTGTTCAGATGCAGGCTATGTTTCACGATTTTTAAAAGTTTTTTTAATTTGTGCATGTATGGATAAACCAGCACAAGCATTGGTACAAAATTTACCCGAACCAACTGCAAAATTTGGATGCGGAAGATGTGAAATTCGTGGTAAAAATTTTTTCCATACACACTTTTCTTATTTTCAGAAGTCCCATGTAAAAATTTATATAAATTCGGCGATTTGACGGAATTTAATGTTACATTGTAGACCGTGAAAACGAGTCAAAAATATGCTTTTTAACGAAGTCTCACGAGTTATTTTACGTTAATCTCGTTTTAACGGAAAAATACGCATGAGACTTCGTTTAGTTCATATTTCTAACGCTTTCTCACGGTCAAAAATGTTACATTAAATTTCGTTAAATCGTTAAATTTACATCAATTTTTACATGGGATATTTACTTAGGCTATACTGTGTTGTCATCTGCCAATTCTGATCATCGAATTAATTGTTTTCCTATTGAAAACTCTCTGATTCAACCACAGTTAAGAACAAATGATCGATATGATTATCTTATTTTAATTAAAGAACTAAATGATATTGAAATAGAAAAAATTAATCGTCATTCACTTGATCGCAAAGGTAAGCGTCAACTCAAGCAAAAATTAATCAAAAATAAGGAGTCTGAACATGGAATCCTCGATCCTTGTGTGCTTCGTCAATTGACATATTTTGGCGTTGGATTCAGTTTTGTATCAGATAATCTACACAACGTGTATCAAGGTGTAACTGTAAGTAGTATACTTGACATCTAAATCCATACCTAATATTTTTTATTTTTTATAAGAGGAAGTTATTGTCTCTTTGGCTTCGTGCTGATTATAAAAGAGAAGATTGGTCGTGTTTTAATCATATCCATCAACTGTCATCAATGCTTCAATCGTTTCGTTTTCCTTCAACAACTGGTCGACGACCACGTTCACTACTTAAATTCAAAAAGTTTAAAGCCAGTGAATTAAGGATGGTCCTTCTTTTTGGATTTGTGATCTTTAAAAAGGTCTTAAAAGCTAAATATTACGATCATTTTCTGAAATTAGTAATAGCTATTCATTTTTCGGAGCACCGCACTATAAACATGGTCATGGTTGATAACGTAAAAAGTCTCCTTCATGAGTTTCTCATTGAATATCCAAAACTCTACACGGCTCGACATAATCAACAAGTTGTACATTTCCTTAATCATATTGGACAAACTATTAATGATTACGGTCCATTGACTTCTTATTCTACATTTCACTTTGAAAATATTTTGGGTGATATCTTGATTTTTTCCTACCAATCTTTTAATATGATTTCATTGATATTTAGGGATGATAATGCGAACTATCAAAGCTACTCGTCGAGAAGAAATCGAAATGATTGGAAGTTTAAATATATTCAGACGTGCATGCTTAGGGATCATCCATGAAAGACACCTGGGTGAAACGGATATACTTAGCTCGCATTGATCGTAGTATCATACTTGAAAGCTTAATTCAAGTTTCAAGCTTGAATCATATGTGTTTCCATGCCACTCACATCATTAGACGCAATTTTCAGGATTACTGTTTATTCATATATGAGTTAGTAGGTTTTTTCTGAAATTCTTTTTATATCAGATGTCAAAGGAGCGAGGCACTTATATCGAATTTTAAAAAAGAACATTTATCGAAGCAGGCGCTGGAATTAACGCCAAAAGTTGCGTTAAAAGATAAACTAACAAAGTTTCATGAAGCGAAATTCGCGAACTTTCGTTAAATTTCGAGAATTCGTGAAAACGCGTTAGACTTTTCACGCTGTTTCACGCGTGATTGTCTTTTTAACGATAACTAACTCGTTACATGTCGTTAAACATTTGATCCTTTTTCACGTGTGAAGATATTTAACGATGTTTCTTGAGTTTTTTTTTGTTTTTAACGAATCTTACCGTATGAACTATCGTTAAATATTTCGTTTGTTTTCACGCGTGAAAAAACAAAACTCGATTCTTACCTGAACGTCCTTTATGGAAGATCTTTTACAACTTCATGATTCAACAATGAATATTCAACTTAAAAACTACATTGAAAATATGATGTTTGGTCGTGGCTATTATAGATCATCATTAAGTGTGCCTCAGACTATGCATTCAATACCGTCCAATAACAGAATCTCCACTTTATTCTAGAACAAAAATCTTCAGTTTTATGGGACAATCAAGATTGGACGTGTTCGTTATACAACTGCAGACTACTCAAAATCAAAGGCAACTGATGATTCTGCAGTTCTATTCAGAATTCAAGATGCAATTCATTTTGGTTTAATAACTGCCATATTTATTGCTACAGATGATGAAATTTTACTGGAACTTTGGCCGCTTTCTGATGTCAAAAACTTATCAATAGTTACAAACGGTCAAAGAATCGATATAACATCAATTCAAGAAGGACAATTACATAAAAGCAATAACTATTATTATGTACCAGTAAATGATATCATTGAAAAATGCGTCTACTGGAAAAAAAACTCTAGCACAGTTTGTTTTTTTCGCTATCCCAATCTTGAAGAATCCCCATGATATATAAAAAAAAGCTTATTTTTACCATTCCAGATTAAGCCTAAACATTCAACTCATAGTACGATGGCTACTTAACAACTACTGACTCAAAACTTCAATGTACTATTTAACGACGATTAATACGATATGATTCGTTAAAATTAAACGAACTCAAGTAACACCATTAAACATCTTCACGCGTCAAAAAGAATGAAATATTTAACGATGGTTAACACGGTAAGCTTCGTTAAAAATAAAAAATTCAAATGATATCGTTAACTATTTTCACATGCGTAAACGATGGCAACTTTTTAACGATAGATAACACGATAAAGTTCGTTAAAATGAAAAAAAACGCAAGAAAGTTCGTTAAAAATTTCACGCATGAAAACAAATGAAATATTTAACGACATGTGACGAGTTAGTGATCGTGAAAAGCACAATCACGCGTGAAAAAGCGTGAAAAATCTAACGCTTTTTCACGATTTTCCGAAATTTAACGGAAATTCTTGAAGTTTTCTTCGTTAAACGTCGTTAATCTGTCTTTTAACGCAACCTTTGGCGTTAATTTCAAGACTCGCTTCGTTAAATGCCTATTTTAGTTTTACATGGGTCTAGCGCTTTTACATACTCACCACGTTGAAAATATACAAGACCAATGGCACCTAATGTCTTGGCCAAACATTCTCGATTTTCTCTGGTATTGTCGTCACTGATAAGCGACATGTCGAGAGCAAAACACTCT